GGCCAACGCATACTACAAAACGGATTTCACGTCAAAGAAAAATTCTACAAAATGACTAAATCTAATAGGTTATTCTCCTGTATTTTGGTACCGTTAGATTCGCAATACATCAACGGCAGAGCTCCGTCCCACCATGCCACACGTGATAGAAAGCGCAGCGTTGAGAAAACTCAACGCTGTAGGTGGGACTAGACCCCAGAATTGCAACTTCCGGGTAGTTCACTCATCAACGGTGAACTCCCGGACCATAGATGATCTCAACGGATACCTAATCTTTTCACAATTTAAAATTCGTTAATTATCATTATTGCATTATTGTTTTATTGATTATTATTAAGAATTATTAATTCGTTATTAATCATTAATTGAACTTTATTGATTAAATAATTCGTTATTATTTTCTTATTACGAATTTTTGAGTTGTTTTTCGGGAAAGTTGATCTTTTCTGGTTGATTAGGTGTCTAAGTCCATCAGTGGGACAGGGACTGTATGCGAATTGCTTGATTGTTCTACCCCTGTTCTCACTCTCCCTACCCTCCCCGTACTCTGTCACCACCGGGACTTCTCAAGTACCACATCAGCTCAGGCTGATGTGGATGGAACAGGACACCGGGGCACTGCCACGACGCAGTGCCAGGCTTGCAGTTCGTAGCCGTTCTGTGGTACCTCCACGAACTAAGTACCAACAACAGCGATTCAGCAAGCAGACGACTCCAGCGGCATCAAGTACAGCAATCACAGTACCGGGTACCACCAGGGCTCTGCCCGCATGTCCGGTCCAAGGGGCCCTTGAACCGTTGGCTGATTACCTTCGGCGGCTATAGGCAGTTACGGATGCCGTAGCTACCGCTAAGGCACAGCAGGAGGCAGCAGAGGCAGAACGTCAGCGGCTGGCCAATGAGGCGGCAGCCCAAGCTCAGCAGACTGCTGAGGCTGACGCAGCGGCACGAGACCGACAGGGACTGTATGCGAATTGCTTGATTGGTCTACCCCTGTTCTCTCTCTCCCTACCCTCCCCGTACTCTGTGACCACCGGGACTTCTCAAGTACCACATCAGCTCAGGCTGATGTCGATGGAACAGGACACCGGGGCACTGCCACGATGCAGTGCCAGGCTTGCAGTTCGTAGCCGTTCTGTGGTACCTCCACGAACTAAGTACCAACAACAGCGATTCAGCAGGCGGACGACTCCAGCGGCATCAAGTACAGCAATTACAGTACTGGGTACCACCGGGGCTCTGCCCGCATGTCCGGTCCAAGGGGCTTTTGAACCGTTGGCTGATTACCTTCGGCGGCTACAAGCATTTACGAATGCCGTAGCTACCGCTAAGGCACAACAGGAGGCAGCAGAGGCAGAACGTCAGCGGCTGGCCAATGAGGCGGCAGCCCAAGCTCAGCAGACTGCTGAGGCTGATGCAGCGGCACGAGACCGACGGAATGCCGCCAGCACGGAGTCCCTGATTCAAAGTGAGAATCAGTGGACGACGCTGCTCCAAGGCATGATCTTTGTGCCTACGGACGCGCAGGCGCCGACACCGGCGGAGACAGAGAGAAGTAACCTGGCTAACTTGATGTTGAGCATGATGAGGGGAGTAATGTGGAACAACAAACTGCTGCAGGCACACCTGCTCACGGATCGACAGCACAAACAGAAGCAGCAGCAAGACATTGCCGCTTTAACAACTGCCGTCCACGCCGCAGCAACACAGCAGCAGCAACAGCATCAGCTGTTGAACTCCGCTCTCGCATGCATCAACAGCATTGAGGCTAAAACCTCAGCAGCGCCAGGCTGCACGACAGACACAGTGAAACAGCTCAACGAGCGCATTGACCATGTCGTCACTATTATTGGCGAACTAGGTGAATTCACTAGTCCGGCCACGATCAGCAACACGGTGGCCGCCATCAAGACGGACATCACCAAACTGTAGACAAGACCGGACGCCGCTACAAAGAACTACAAGATGCCGCACTTCAACATCAGCAAGTTCGACGACTACAACAAGACAAACGCCTTGATATGGTGGCAAGGTTTCCTCACGGAAGCATCATGCCGCACTGTCCCGGCCGACGACATGATGAAGGCGCTCTACCTGCAACTGATTGGAGGAGCGCAGGCATGGATGGACCATCTGGCGGCTACCAAGAAATGCACCATCGCCGAACTTCACACGCACATTACGTGGAAGGAGTTCGAGCAACTGTGGTTCACTCGCTTCATGGTCCGCAACGTCGTGAAGGCGGTCATGAACGAGGTTTACACGAGCTCACAAGGAAGCATGCCAACTTGAGACTGGACGATCAAGTGGCAGAAGATAGTGACCACGCCAGGCTTCGATTTGAGTTTCCCTAACCAACGATCCGAGTTCTTCGCGCAGGACTGCGAGCCGCACTCGGCAACGAGTACGATTATGCCTCATTCCAGGCTATTCTGGATAGTGCGAACCTGGTCATCCAAACAGATGACAAGGCCGCGAACGAACGGCAGTCCCAGTCGCACTATGTGGCTAAGCGGGGCTATCAACAACCGACACATAACAATGTCGTGATTTATGAAGAAACAGTCGATCTCCACGCTGCAGCAGCATTCTCGAGTGATGGAGGAACTGTCGCAATGCTCCCGCCGAAGCGTCCCAAGAGAGTTCGGAAGAACAAGGCGACACAAGCGACGACATCGACGGGAACTGGGCAGCAACCATGGACGGCGTTCAACATAACCAAGGAAGTATTTGATCTTCGTCAACGGTACGGATATTGCCTTTGGTGCAATAGTGTCACTCATTTGACCGCACAATGCCCCAAAAAGGGCAAGGCACGTGTACCCCGTCCAGCGAACTCGGGAAACTGAGTTGCGCAAGGAGAGAGGCGAAGTCTCTCCTCACTCCGCCGGAACCGGTTGCCTTGCTAGCAACCGATGTCACTATCGGGGAGCATGCGCTAGTCGCTGATTCTCGTGCTACGTACGAGGATTATGCCGCCTAGTTGGTACCACCATTAGACCAGCCGAGCCACGTGCACTTAGATTGCATATGCGCAGCCTGTACACCATCGGCAAGTGATCCGGTCAGCTCGCCACTGATTTCCGAGGACTCGACGGCGTGGTCAAGACTTGAGGAGCTTGAGCCGCTCACGAGAGAGGACTTCGCTTGGATGCCTCTACCCTCAACTGGAACCTTGCCAAGGCCGCATTGCAACGCCTTGATGGCAAATCTACGCCCCTATTTGCACACTACAGTACCAGCTCCGTTGACGAACGACGGGGTAGCGGTTGTCGATCTCCGCTCCAATCTTGCCAAGATTGACCGCGAGTACGTCACCCAAAGGTACGCCGAAACCGACGCCCCTTTGCTCTATATCTGCATTCAAATTGGAAAGGCAACCTGTAGTGCCTTGATTGATTGCGGAGCGTCTCGCAACTTTATGAGCCAAGCCTTTATGGCCCGCGCAGGTCTTGGCCCGCGCGTTCGAAGGAAGACGCAACCTACGCAAGTTACACTCGCGGACGGCCGCACGCAAAAGTAAATTGACCGATGCGTCGACGGCGTTC